ATAGTGTACCGTTTGATATTTTTCCATTCATTTTGTAGGTATTTGTTGCATTTTGGAGCATAAAGGAATAAGGTGTCGAAGGCGGCTAAGCGTGAGTGTGCTCAGTATATTTTGTAGTGCATTGCTTGCGTTTTGACAATTTGGAAGAAGCTTTATAATTGAGCCTGCTTAGCGTGGATAGCACTCTTAGTGCGGTTTAGGTTGATTTGATGTGTAAATATCATGCAGCACGCTTAGCGCGGTGAGCCCGCTAAGCACGATCTGCTGAGATTTGTTTTATAACTTTATTTTTAGTTCATTTTTTGTTATAGTTTTGGGGAAGTTTTTGCTCCAAACTCCATCAACCTCTAATTTTATTAGGATTAGCTTAGATAACAACTATGGAGCTTGCATACGGATTATCTGGGGTGGATTGCTCTTCGATCAGCACTGACAAACCGGTAGATATGTGGCTCATTTCTCTTTTTCTTTGTGTATTCTATTTTGGTTGGGTTTTTATATATATTTATTTTGATCTTATGTATATTTGTCTCCCTTGGCATTATATAAAACTTACTTTACAAATATTTGTCGATTGTTATCCTTGATTTTTGCTCTGTGCTAGGGATTTGAGTTGCTATAGACATATACTGCTCGAATTCTTACCTAGGATGATTATCTGTTAGTTTATGGATTCTAGAGATAGATTTAGAGCTGCCATTTACTTAGGGTTTCTGTGATTAATGCTTTTGTGTTGTTTGTGTCGCTCTGAGAGATCGTCAATATAAATGAGCACGGTTGACTTATATGTTGTTAAGGTTGGTTGAGAGATCATCATCGAGATGATACAGTGGGTGTTGTGTTTGACATGTGATGACATTGATGAATATTGTAGGTTTAGTATAACATGTCGATAGGTTTAAGTTTGTGAGAAGTAGTATATATGCATGCTTGATAAGTTATTTTTTTCCTTTTTATAGGTTTATTTTCTATTGATACTTTTCCTTTCAACCAATTCAAACCCCAAACTCATTAACAAGATATTTTTCGAACGGCAGTTCAATACACCAATCTCCGTGGATACAATAGGATATAACCTATATCACCCGGTAAAAATAATACTTTACTTTTTGCTTGTCGCTTTACCGCATCCAGCAAAATAGCACCGTTGCCGGGGATTGATGTTTATTGTTTTGTATTCTGATAGTTTCTTTGTTTTTGAGTTTTGTAATTAATATATATGTTGTATAGAATGTGTACATAAACTTGTCTATTTTTACTTGTACATGTTTTATGTTTACTTTTCATACTTGTGCATATATGTGTTTTTCTTTGTTTTTATGTATTGTTGTAAATTGTCTCGTTTTCGTAACGTTTGTTGTGTGCATGTTATGACACTTTATTTAGGTTTGCACAGTCTGAAAATACCATGGCATGACGGGAGGATGTTACTAGCTCACACAATAAAAGCGTCGAGCTTACGACATAAAACAAGCATGTTTATGTTCGTTTATGTTGTGTGGTGAAATTGTTTAATTCACTTTCACCCGTTTGTTTTGTTATGTAATTTTGAGTTTTTATGCAAGCTTGTTGTGTTTAGATTGAGGAAGTTTGTATGTTGTCAATATTGTATGTTTGAGGTTGTGTAGGTGTAAGTGGAGCTTGCATAGCAGCTGCACCATTTGCCCTGTTTTTCTGCAACTGGTGTAGCGCGCTTAGCGCGCTCTGTACTGCTTAATGCGCCCTGCTGTGCAGAGCCAATGAATTCTTTTTAATTTTTCGTTTGGCTCTCTTTTTTCCCACTTCACCCAAGGCTTTATAGTATAGTAATTAATAGTAATATTTTTAATTCTTTCTTTTTTTGTTTGGACTCAAATTTTGGTTAGATAGCTTGAAGTCGCATTTGGTGATTTTCTAATTTTTAGTGTGTCAACTTGCGGATGTATGTTAATGATAGTTTTTAAAGTTGGTACTCGCCGTGTACTCGTTTATCGCTTTCTATAACATAACATGTTTAGTAAATTTATCATTTATATAATTACCATACCATTCATTCTTTTTTAATTACTTGCTCATGACTTGAATCACTTTAGTTCCTTTTTTACCCATAAATATGAGGAAGCTTTCCATTGTTCACATATGCTGGAGGCCACAATTCTTGTTTTAACTGGATTTTAATATGTTTAATCTTTTTTTTTGTGTTGATTGTATGAAAGCATGAACATGATCAAGGAATTTTTTGTTTCATTTTGAGCAAAACTACCTTGGCCAAATAGTCAATTCACCTTGTGAGTGTGTGATTATTAGTATCCCCTTTTGACTTTTTGTCGATATCTATGTTATTTTTGCTAAATGCTTTTTTTATGAATATTGATTCTTTGTTTTCTTGAACTCTTAACTATGATTTGTAGTTTGAATTTTTACCTTGCTTTAGAAAGTAGGGAGTATTCACATTATGATATGGTTGAATTCAAGTTAGGGAGAGAATTATTTGCTTTCTCTTGTGTGTATTACTATGAGGTTGAGAAAGAAATAGAAAAGGGAAAAAAAGTGAAAAAGAAAAAAAGAAAAAGAAAGAAAAAAGAGAAAAGTTTTGAAAAATAAAAAGAATTTGAATAATGGTGTGATAATAAGTAATGTGTGTTGGTTTGAAATTTGGAATGAAGAAGAAGTTTGATTGAATTTATTTTGCTTGAGTCTTTGTGAGTTGATCACTCCCTTAGATTAAGGCAAGTTTTTGTTTCGATTAGCTTTAGGACTTATCCCTTGTTTGTTAACCAAGCCACATTACAACCTTAAAAAGCCCTTGTGATTCTTGCCTTTGTATTTCCAATATGAGTTTTTGGATGAATGCATAATTTAGTCTATTGTTTGAAAGAGTGTGGATGCGTGTTTTTTATTCCTCACCTTTATGTGTTCTTCATCTACTGGTGAATTTTTACTAGGTGTGATTCATGATTGAGTTTGTTTTGTTTTAGAATGTTTAGTATGATTTTTGTACTTAGGATTCATTTCGTTTACATGTTGTCGTTGTAGGATTGTGATAAGTATTTACCTTGCGTTGTAGGATTGTCAGTCAAACCAGATAGAGTGCTTGCAACTAGTCGTTGGTCCTGTGGAGGAGGTAGACTACAGGTAATGATCTGATCGGTTCATGGTTGTCTCTCCGACTTGATGTCGGGCAGACGAAGAAGTGTCTGTCGGACGCCATTCAGGTAGTGCAGGCCACAATGGATGTAGTGGTCAGAGCAATTAATCATGGATAATTTCATCTTGTTGGCATTCCACATGATCCATATTCTGCTATTATGATGGTGGGAATAATTTTCTAGAAATAGCCAGTTACCCTTTCATTTATTTCTAATATTATTGGCTTTGTTGATAACAAAATCATGGTTCATGCTATAGAGACAGGAGAAAATCTCACTACACTTTTCTGCATTATTTATCCCCCTCACATTCTAAGATATTATCATTCACCTAAGGGGTGGTTGCTTGGGCCTGGGTCATCCCATGAGTCTAGGGTTTCAAATTCATTTTGACAGTTAACTTCCTTGATGGTGTCAAGTTCAAGGATCACAAATTTATCTTTTGTCTTCCTATGATTAGCCACATACATCCATGTTGATGAATCAGGTGTGCTATGGTTTTGAGCTGGAGTCTTCAACTCCTCTTTAGTCAGCACAGGTGCCTTTTTAATCTCTTTCACAGTTGCCTCTTTAATTCTCAAGTTTTTCTCATGCAACTTTCTTATAATCTTAGAGGGCATTTATTTCTAGATTACAAATCTATTCTCAGACTTCCTCTTTTCTCATGCAACTTTCTTATAATCTTAAGGACATTTATTTCTAGATTACAAATTTATTCCGGGGAATTTAGGTTGAAATATTTTCCATTTACATTTTTATTCAAGTTTTATTAAATATATTTAGGAATTTTTTATTCCTTCTAATTTATTTTACACATAATTTTGTCACTTTCTATTCTCATGTTATAAGATGAAAATCTTACGATTCTCATAAAAATAATAAAAAGTAATCACCCATAACTTCTCGCTCTCAAACATTTTAATTCATTTATTTTTTACTATAAAAATTAAATTAAATATATCTTATAAATATTCCTAAAAAATTAAATTACTCGAATTCGGTTGCTCACTCTATAGCAAAGGCAGCCGATTTTTGGACTAGACGTAATTTATTTCATATGATTTTTTCTTGTATTGAACTTCTATTGATTAATGATATAAGTTAAGTTCTTGTTTGTCAAAAAAATCTAATTTGAATTCTAAATTTAACTGGAATGTGTTAACAATTCAATTCAATATATGTTGTATGTCAAAAAAAAAAAAATCTAATTTGAATTCTAAATTTAATTGGAATGTGTTAACGATTCAATATATGTTAATTACTTGAGCATTTATGAACAAAATGCTACTGATATTAAAAACATCAAAATATCATATTACTAACAAGTTGATGTAGGTTCATAAATCAATACCCTAATTACCATAAAATATTAAAACAACAAATGAAAAAAAAAAGTGAGTCCTAATCCTAAGTCCTAACCCTTGATGTCAATGGAGACGGAGTTACTTGAATTAGGAAAACTAAATGAAAAACAAAATGAATTAAAAAAACAATTCCAACTGTTTGAGATCAGCCTTCTACATTTGTAGGGACCAGACAACCCAAATCCTTTTCATTTTCACTATGAAGTACTCTGATATGAGCTTTATTTCCTAATAACAATAAAACCTTGAAAATTTAAGGCCAAGGAACTTCCTCTAATTCACAACAAATCACTTTATTTGACTGTCTATAACAATCTGTATCTCTACAAAAAAAAAAACTTATTTCCGTTTTGTCCTATGCCAAGGATGTTAAATATCAATCTCTTATTTGAATAATTGATTGAATTTAAAACACTTGCTTGCACATAAGGAACAATGCAGAAATAAAAGTAACTGTAATTTGACTTCTGTTTCTATGTATGTATTTCATGTGCCTCTGATCAGCACTTTACATGCGAGTAGATGTTTGTTGCATGAGATATTTCAGAGAACTAAAGTTCATTGGTGCCTCTTGAATAGCTGTCCCAGAAACCGGCACACGACCATAAGCCGTGTGTCCAGAAGCAGTGAGATTCACTGGAGTGGTGCCATCTGCAGATACAACTGGTCCTCCTACAGGTTGCCAGATCCTAGGAGCAGCATAAATTCCAGCAGGTGGGGCAGGAAGATTATCTATAGTTCTGATTCCAGCAGGTGGGGCCGGAGGATTATCTAAAGTTCTGATTCCAGCAGATGGGGCTGCAACAAACATTTCAGCAGGTGGGGCTGCAGCAAACATTTCAGCAGGTGCGGCAGCAGCAATCATTTCAGTAGCTGGGGCTGGAGGAACTTGTGTGGCTGATTCTCCAGCCGAACTTGCTGCAGGATCGCTTGATTGACCAGTAATTGGTACTTGAGGTCCTGGAATGTCTACATTTTTCTCAAGGGTGACATCATGTATGCTGGATCGCCTTCTTCTTTCTTTCTTCTCATTCATTGATTTCTGACGAATCTTGTATTTCTGAGCATGGCTTGCGACTTGAGTAGGTGTCCTTGTCACCACACATCTCCTTGATATACTTCGCCAGTCACCATCTCCATACTTCTCCAAGCCTATAAGAAATAACCTGTTCCACAATTTTGAAAATACTTAAAAACATTACTAACCATATTCAAAATTAACCTTCCACAAAGATGATCAAATGTTAAACAGAAACATGGATTTTCTTAATCAGTATCTCTAAGACTCTAACTAAGTCAACAATTTAATCCTGATCAGTTTTGTCAATGGCGGAATGCAAAAAGTCCACGGTATAAACATGACACCATATCGTGGTTGTGAAAAAATCCGACACACCATTAAATGATTAAATGATATTGATTATTGATAACAATCAAGCTCATTAAATTTTTCTAAATCTAACAACCACCAATACACTGTTCTACATCACTTTGCCAAAATCTCCTCACACGATTGTTTCATAGATCGGATATAGCAGTAACTCTTCCAAAGATTGGAGTAAACCCATAACAAAATCAAGCAAAACAATCCGGTTTAACTGATTGTAACATTCGCGGCATATTATTGATACTATTGAAACTAAATCTAACAAGTAGTGATCCTATATCAATGCAATAAAGTCTAAATAAACGTGGTTCGGTAGAATATCTAATAGGCACCATTCTGGTATATTGCGTTAAATATTATGGGGAAAAGGATCGCTTTTTTCTTTAATATGGATAAAAAGTTTAGGAGAAGGGAAATTTGTCTGATTCAAATGCATGCCACAAGGGTCGGTGAAGACATACGAGCAGTACCAACAAATTAACAACCACTACGATTTGAACCCCAAACACTTTACCCAATACTATAGATAAATTCTACACACTGGTCCAGGAGTCCCAAATGTCATGGTTTAGTAAAACAGACACCGCAGTAAACTGTCATAACAAGACTGGAAACTTCTCTAACAAATATCCACTGAAAAACTTAATGCACGGCTCAGATAGCTTAGGATATATAGACCCTACAATCAGTGTTATCAAATATCGGCCATGGCGGATATACATTGCGGTTTTTGGGGTTGGCGCGATGGTAAATACCGGCCGATATTGCGAATTTTTCCGCCATAATCTGCTATATAGCGGGATTTCGGCTCTCCATCATCCACCATCGACAACATTGTCTACAACCAAATATCATCAGTGTCGTCAAATATTATAGCATAGCAGAATTTGAACAGATCGCTATGGTCTTGTGATACACGTACACTATTTAGCACAAACTTTTCTCAAATAGCGGCTATAGGATGATAGCTTTTCTCAAATAGCGGCTATAGGATGATAGCTAGTGTTATTGATCGTGGATGGGCTAAAGCCAAAAATCCCGCATTTTAAGCTGCCATACACACTAATTGACAACTGCAATTGTCAAAAAAATTGCCACCACAATCCACCATGGTCGATATTTGACAACAATTACTACAACATAGCAGAATTTGAACAAAACTTTATTTTTTACAATCCGCAATTCCAACACCATCACATATAAGCTCCAAATACCTCAAATTTATACAGTTAAATAAAACTAAAAAAACAAGAGACAGTAGTAATAACAAACTAAGATAAACTAACCTGTGTTCATCTTCAGTCCAAGGAATGCCCTTTCGTCGATCTTTATCAGACTTCGACCCATTAGCTCCCTTTTTGACAGCTCCTTTTCCACGAGCACGCTTTGTCGATCCCTCCGGAGAAGAATCATAACACGGTAAAGGCACATTTCCAGATTCAATGAGGCTGACATCCTCGACCAAAAGCTGATAGTGACGCATAATCTCTTCCAAACTTTTCCCGGGTACAACATCCGCAATTTTCCCCCATCGATCCACAGCATCCTCAGGATAATTCGCCAATGCATTTTCAAATGCCATGTCTTGTTCTCTGCTCCACTTACCGAAACCACCCAGTTCACCCATAACAGAGAAATGAATCTGAAATATCAAAATAGTGACTTTGCTTCAGAATTCAAAAAAAATAAAAATAAAAAACGGGTTTCTTGTGAATTACGTCAAACGTTATTTCAATTCAGAATTTATTAAAAGTGCTTATTTTTTGTGAAATTATTTCATATTGATGATGAATAAACAAGAAAGAGAACACAATCTCGTAAGAACATGTGAATTATATCTGAGAAAAATAAATGTAAATTAGAGATATGGATATAATTTTTTTTGTAATAATTGAAAGAGAAAATAGAGGAATAAGGGAAGATGAAAAGGCGAGAAGAGTGTGAAGTGATAATAACGTTGGAGAGAGGAAAATCTTGGTCGGAATATCTCACTGTTGAGTTGAATGTGACTCGAAGTTGATCCTCTCACGACTTCAGTGCGACTCGCAAATCAGTGAACTGTTGAATTTGACTGTGATTAGGGTTTAAAAAATTAATTAGTGAATTTATATGCATAGTGAATGGGCCCACCTTTGAAAAGGAGGTAGATTGGGCTTCATTTTGGACTTGTTTATTTATTACAATTTTAAAAAATTTACCTCCACAAATTTATTAAAATTAGTGCTGCATTAAAACTAGATGTTTCTCTGTGTAATACAGCGTTCAACCATCAAGTTGTTAAGTGTTAATTTTTTGAGTTATAGGACAAGGGACCTCCTTATAGAAAATGAAAAAATTTGGAAAAGATGTTAACATAATTCTAACAAATGATAAAGATATGGTGAGATGTAATTCTTCTAAAATCTTAGGAATATTATTCAAGCATTGTCTGCTACTTTTCACATGTAGTCCTTGAGGTAATTGAGTCAAGTGTTGAATCTCTTGAATTTTTCGTTTTTTCATTGGGTTGTTATATTCCAATGGGCTTGGGTGTGAGTTGTTCTTTAGTAATGTTGGTGTCAATAGTATTGGGCTGCTATATTCCTTGTGGTTGGAAAAGACACCTTGTCCTTAAGGTGATAAGTCTCACAAATTTGGAGCCAAGCTTCTCAAAAAGTGTCCTTATAAGTAACTCATTGTCATTGGACGAGCACAAGACAAGTAGGATGTGTGACAAATGTATCCCATTTGGAGGCATGCTGGATAAAATGGGTGATTGTTAATTAAAGTAGGTGGTAGGGAAGAATTTATGGACTCGATGGGATAATGGTGAAGTTTCAATAATGAATAGTGAAAAAATCAAGGTGAATTTTGGATGCAGGGGAAGGTCTAAATAGTAAACTACTTGGCCAATTATATCGGAATTTTGAAAGGGTCATAGAAGAATTGAGAGAGTTTGGTGCATGAGAAAGGGGTGGATGATTTCTAGTGATATGGGTGTAATTTGATATAGACCCGTGACTTAACTTTGAATGAAACATCTCTGCATTTTTTATCTGCAAAATATTTCATGTGTCTCTGATTTGGATAAGATCTGCTGGAGTTTGATGATGAGTTCTTGGAGGGAAATGGTCATTGATTCAACAGTTTTAATAGGGAAAGAACCCATGAGATAATGTTGAATGGTAGGTGGTGGTTTGCCAAAAGTAATTTCAAATGGTGAAATCCTAGTAGAGGAATAAAGATAAGTGTTGTAGGACCACACATCAAGGTTTAAATAGGTGAAACATTATTGAGGATGTTTTTGCATAAAGGAACAAACACATTGTTCAAGAACACAATTGGAAACTTATATTGGTCATCGACTTCAAGGTCATAAGTAGTGCTCATATGATGCTTGGTGCCACACAAACGAAAGAGTTAACGCCAAAAGCAGCTCGTGAAGATATAGTTACGATCATTAACCAAATTGTGGAGAAATATGTAATATTTACACACCAGGTAAATGAAAAAGCAATGAAACCTTATACATGGTGAATTTGGTAGGAAGGGAACCTAAATGCACACCCTCAGAGAATCAATCTACTACCACAAGAACCTCAAATAAGCCATGTGAAACAGACAAACCTATAATAAAATTGAGGGATAGGTCTCCAAACACTTGTAGGAATCGATAGGGGTTAAAATAATTATTTTAGTTCATTTGCTTCATGTTTGTTATTGGCATGTGTGACAGTTGGTGACAATGGTTCGGACACTTTGACAAAGTTCTTCCTTGAAAAAATTGAATTTGAGCCTGTGTTATTGTTTCGGTGATACTCATGTGACCTTCTAATGGTGTAAAGTGAAATTCTTCGGGTGATTGGTGGCAATTCGGACTTTGAGGATCTAACCAAATACGTTTTTTGTAAAGAATGAGGCCCTGTGAACTTTGTAGTTTGGGAATGATGAAGGTTTGGTTTGAAATTGGGAAAGAAGGTTATGGAAAGTAAGGTTATTTTGAATGTATTGGAGAAGCTGATTCAAAAAAACGAAATGAGGAATAGAGAAATAAAGGTGCGTAGATGGGCCTTTTGGATCTTGCGATAGAACATCGACGACTATGTTATTCTTTCTAGTTTTGTATTAATTTGAATAATCGTAGCTAAAGTGTTTGGATATTGTTGTATCCCAAAATTTGCCCTCCCCTTTCCACACAAGACATACTCTTAGAGGTCCTCAATTGCTCAAGTTGACTAAGGATTGACCAGACAAATCCTCCTCTTAAGACAATAAGCCTCAAACTAGAGTTTCACTCCTCATCAAGATGGTTGAGTCCAAAGGGTCTCAAATGTTTCCCATTTCCCTAATATGTCCTCAAGATCATCCATGCCAAGTTTCATGCCTTGCACTACAAGTTTGCTCAGTCAACTGCTCAAATGCCTAAAAATTAACTGCACTAGGTCAAAAGTTAACTACGGCCCAAATACAGTCAAACATCAAGATTTTGGGTCAACATCAACATTTTAAATTATTGTCCATCATTTGATCAACGTTTGATCATTATTCCTCAAGAAATGCTCCCAACTCTTCAAAAGTCAAAAATGGCAATTTAGGGTTTCTATAGGAAAAGTCAACCAAACTTTGACCAGGCATAACTTTCTCATACTTTATCAGAAATTTTCCAACCAAGGCTCATTTTTAAGAGAGTCATATTCCCTACAACTTATCTTGATCCCTCAAGTTCAAAAAATTCATCAATCAAAAGATATAAGCTCAGACATTATAGGTCATTTCAAAAAGTCAACAAAAACATATTTTGGGTCAAAGCTCCTTACATGAACATGGAAGATCCAATTGAGATGAAACAAAAAGGTTTATTTAGAGTACATCCTAAGCTTTCTAAAAAGTCCAAGAACATCCTCTTAGGGTCAAAAATGAGAGAGATGTGCATTGCTAAAGTTGACCAAATTTTAGAAATGTGCATGAAGTCAACATTGATCAAAGTTGATTTTTTTTCCAAATGGGCCCATGTTTCCATGCTTGAAACTTGTTCTTAACATGGCCCACGACCCCTGAGCTCACTCATACATTATTTCATTATTTTTATTATTTATTTTGATTTTTTATTCATTTAAATCAAAATAAATCAAATAAAATATTGAAATAATGAAATAAAATCCAAAGATTTGTTTTAGGGCCATATAATGAGTCTAGGATTTGATGAGCATGTGAAGATTTCGTGCAAGGACTGATTGGAATGAAAAGAGCATGTTTTGGCCAATTTTGGAAACTTAAAATACAAATTGCAAATCAAATCTTTTTCTCACAAATCTTCAAGATTGCATCCAGTTTTGCTAACCTAATATGTTCTCATATATATGCGTAACATTCCCAGACCAGAAAAAGGAGGATTGGCCGTGTGAGTTGGAAGAACAAAACTCAAAATTTTGACAAGAAAGTGGTGGTCAGATTTTTGTCCACAAGGAGATTCAAAGCATCCTGAGGCCCGCAGTCGATTGTTGGAGGTATTCTGAAGCCACCTGAATCATTCCCACGCATCAAAGCACCCAGAAACGCCTCATACGATATCACGGTTTTCCCTTCATTCTTGAATTTAGTTTTGAGGATTTACGCGTTATAAATGATTTCTAAACATACATTCATGTTTGTATCGTTATTTAGAATCTGTTTGTATAATTAATTATGAGTTTTTATGCTTGTATGGATAACTTCCATTGTTAGGGTTTGTAGGTGCGTTTTAGGGTTACAGGTGAAATTAAGCCAAAAGAAGAGTATCAATGTACTCAGGAGATCAAGCCCAGTCGGTCTGGGTTCTTAGATTTTATTTTTATTGTGTGGCTGTGATTTTTGAAATATGCAGGTTTATAGTTACAACATGTTGCCCGTAGGTAAAAGTGATGTCTAAAAGACAGTCCCTTTGAAGAAGATGATGGCGTGTCCAAGTCTGGTTAGAAAATTTGAATGGCGCACGCTTTTCATTTATCACTACTGCTAATTATTAAATAAGATATATTGTTTTTGTTTTATATCACAAAAGAACAAGTGGCTCAGTGGCAAGGATGGATGGTTTCAAAGCCCACGCGTGTAGGAGGTCAGGGGCTCGATCCTTGCCTCCTACATATTATTTTTCTTAACATCTATTTGCAGATTCAATGTTGTCATGCCCAGCGCGTCCATCATACGCCACATATTCATCACCATTAGATCAAGCATTTCCCTGATCTCACGCCTCCAATGAAGCTCCCCATGATGGACCTCTAGGCTCCCAACAACACTGGATCCAGCGCTGGTGATGGGCCACAGGATTGGGCCTTGGACGAATTCAGCATGCCACCCCCCAAATTTGGGTTTACACCCCTCAGGCCCATCCCTTCACTCTTTTTAATTTTTACTATTTTTATTTTGTTTAATTAGTTTAATTCTTTTTAAATCAATTTTTTATAAAATCAGAAAATCATCACAAAAATAAGTCCTAATTTTCATTTAAATTAATGTTTGCAAATTAATTATTTTAATCAATTTTAACTTATTAATTAAAATTAATTAGAAAATTAGGTCAATTTCAAATCATTTTTTTATATAAAATTCAAAAAATATTTTAATAATCAAATCAGGATTTTTTTAGGGTTTTGCACCTTTTTCAAT